CGGCAGCCCCCACCCACCCCATCCGCACGCCTCCATGCACCTCGGACCCGCCTCCACCCTGAACCCTGAAGGTACATGGCGTCTGTCATTATCGGCGGCACCACCGTGCAGCAGCTCAAGGACAACATTGACGCCTGCTGCCTGGCACTGGACCCGGAGGTCGAGGCGGCGGTGGACGAGCTGTACCTCACTTTCGGCGACGCCAACCTCACAGACTGACGCGCGGGCGGCGGTCACGTCACAGTACGACCGACACGGGCTCAGAAACGGCGATGACTGGGTTGCGATTGCATTCATGAAATTACAATGAGCGCAAACTGCTGGGGCCGCCGGCACTCTGGGGAGCAGAGGCAGCCCGGCAAGGCTGACCGCTGGCGGGGTCGCGTCCTCGGGCCAGCGGCGCCACCAGGGCCGGGTGTATTGCGCCACACATTGCGTCCAAGCCGCTGCGGCGGGGACGGACCACTGGGCTGTTGCTGGGCTACCCACTGCTGCACTTGTGACAGACTCTCAATTGCACGCTGTTTGGCACAGCTTTGCACGCAATGCCTAAGAAGTGGTTATCATTTGGTCACAAGAAAATAAAAGCTTGCCTTCTCACCATCAAACTGCTTCTTTTGTCTGTGCTGGCTGGCGTGCACGTTCATGGCAGCAGTGTGGCCCTGGCGGCCTGCTGTGACAGCTACTGTCAGTCGAGGGAGGTTGGCCTGCTGCGGCGCAGAACAAAAACAACAGCAGCATTCACAAAGCTGGGGGCCTGTGCTGCCTGCATCACAGCGCCTGGCACAGATACACACAACCTTGAAGCTCCTGCTGCGCGTTCAAACCGGTGTCATCACCATGGCGTGCTGCCCCTGCCCAACCTGCATGCTGCTTTCGCGTCTGATTACAGCTGGAGTGCACCGCAGGTGGCAAGTTCAGGCCGGCAGACTTGGTTGCTGCGCATGTGCTATGCCACCCACGGGCGCCGCCTACGCTTGGGCCACGTGGTCAGCTGCGCTTGGCAGCGGCGGTTTGCTATAGAAGCGGGGTGCACTACATTGGCGGAAAGGCGGTTGGGAATCAAAGAAGCGAGTGAAAAGAGAATCAACACCAGTGGCTGGTCGGTGTGGGCGTCTGTCTGATGGTACAAAATCGCATTGGGGCGCCGCGCATTGGGGCGCCAAAAAGTCGACAGTGTGCGTGGGAGGGTCCGTCGGAACCAATTGACGAGACGAGGCCGCTCAGGGCGCCGGGGCCTCGTTCGTGGGGGAGCGGGCGGCCGCATTCCCTTGAGGCGCCAAGCTCCGACACATGCACCCCAATGGAACCCGTGCCGGCAATGCGGACATGGGAGGGGGGAGTGCGCTACACGCGCTGTGCACGGTGCTGAGCTGAATTTGCAGTGCGTAGCGAGGAAGCCCACCCTGTTCCAGCCACTATGCAACCAGCATTCAATGGAAGGAACGGCGAGCCGAGGCGCGGCAGAGCGCCTACAGATGAGGGATGGTGCCGATTCGTGCCGCGCGTGTTTGCTGGCCAAAAGACGAATGGTGTCGCAGGACGGATGGGGCAGCTCCTCGCGAGGGCGCCAGCTGCGGCACGGGAGCAGGCGGGACGCGCCCACCGCTCAGTGGGCATACAACTCTTGCGCCTGCCGCCCCGCGCGGCCCGCAGACAGCACGACCCCTGCGGGCGCCGCAGCGACCGCTGCAGCGGCACGCGCTGCTGTCTCTGGGTCGGCCGCTGGCCACCAGCCATTGCCGTCCTCAGAAGCCTGCCCTGCGCCCAGCGGTACCAGCCGCGCCTGCTCCTCCTCCTCGCCGCCGCCGCCGCCCGCCGCCGCGCCCCCCATGACGGCAGCAATTTCCTGCTCAGCCGCCGCCACACCCGCGGCCCGCGCGGCGGCCTGCGCCGCGCCGACGGAGTTGGTCCCTAGAGGTCTGCTGGGGGGAGGATAATCAGGGTAAGGGTTGCAGCATTCACGTGGCCAGCAAGCAGAGTCGCCTTGCGGGGATCCATAACGCACACCATCCTTGGGTGCTGGAGAAAATGGATGCCAGGTTTGGGCCCATCGCACGACCCAGAAGCGCTCACGCGTGCCCACTGCAAACACGGCCTGTGCTCTCACCTCGACCCTTGGGAGGCCAGCAGGTAGCCTGCGCCGTTGCGGGCGGAAGCTGTCTGCTGCGGGCACAAAGGCGGGGGGCGGCGGTGGGGTTTGGCGGCTGCGGCAGTGGGGCGGGTGTCCTGGGGTGAAAAGGTCGCGCAAGCGCGCGCTCGCACACGGCGCAGCAAATGCATGGCACGGATAGATCAGGCGAGCGCCCTTGCATAGGTGCAGACACACCCTTAGCGGGGTATGGATCACGTAAATGGCTCGCGCGCTCTCCGCAACGATGTCGCCCTGTCCAGACGCACCCCTAACACTGGTTGGGTGGGCGACGTTCTTGAACTGCCCACCTCATCCCCGGCCCCCCACTCCTGTCCGACTGCTAAGCCAAAGTCTGGGTGCTTGCAATCACCAAACAAGACTGCAATCGACCCTTTCACAAAACACACGAAACGTGATCGCAACAAAACCCAAACAAGACCTCGGCCCAGCCCTCACACGTATGAACCGGTTCTTCAGGCTTCCAAACGCGCACACACACATACACACACACGCGCGCGCGCCTTCCTCTGCGGCCACCCCAGCCCAGCCGCACCGTCATGAGGCTGATCTTCCGCACAGCGCCCGCCCGGTCGCCGCCGCCGTCCTGGCCTTCGGCGCCGCCCATTGTGAAGGTGCCCTCGGCGTCCGGGTTGTAGGGGGATGCCGCATGGTACACCATGGCCCTGCGCGGGATGGACGTCAGAGGGGGTTGTCCTCAGGGCGCGGGCTTCTGGGCTGAGATACTAATGGGATTTGCCAAGAAGAAGCTGGGGGGCCGGTGGTGCAACTGGCAGAGGCGGTGTGTGATGAGGGTGCATGGTGAGATTCGATGCGTTCGATGGCGCAAGATTGAGGTGGTGATGTCGGGGCAGGAAAATGCAGGCCGGGCCAACTAGAGGGTAGAGGAGCAGGTTGAAGAGTGTGGTCGCCATGTGCAGTTGATGGCACGTGCGTTGGGCTGCACTTCCGAATGTGTTGGTGGCAGCGAGGGGGGAGGAGTGCAGCTGGAGGGCAGGGAGGCAACTGTGGCGTTGCCAGGCAGGCCTATCGGGGCAAAACGAGCGGCCAGCCGTGCCCACGGAGACCCATGGTCTCACTTGAGTGCGCTGTCGCGGTCTCGGCACACAAACGCGCCAGTGGCCACCTGGGGTGGGGTGAGGCGAGAGGCGGTGAGAACCAACAGCAGCGGACAGGAGCGACCGGAAGATGCACACATGCGCGCATGTGTCCCCCTACATGAAACATACACGCATCCACACACACACACACACACACACACACACACACACACACACACACACACACGCACACACAGCCGCACCTGCTGGTCAATCGCCTTTTGTTCTCGAGCCAGCTGCTCCAGCGCCCCCCCATACTGCGACGGCAGCTGCCGGTTGAACCATGGGTGGCGCTTGATGCCGGCCACGGTGATCCTGCAGGTTTGGGGCGGTCGTGCCGTTTCGCGGGGTCACAGCAGAGGGGCTGATGGCGGAGTTTGGGACAGTCAAGTCCAGGGTGCGGCGGTGGTGGTGAGGGGTCGGAGCAGGCGTTGAGGGGGGGGGAGAAACGGCTTGAATGGCTCGTGTCAGCAAGGCGGCCGCAAAAACAGCAGTGCTTTTGGCAAGGATCAGGCTTTGATGCGGCAGGGTGCGGCATGCCAGGTCAGCTGCATCGAGGGGGCCCGAGCCCCCCTAATCCGCGGCGCACGGCCTGCTCGGCAGCCTCTCGTGCGATGCGCCGACCGTTCCGGTGTCCGCGGCTGACGGCTGCTCGCTGGCAGCATCTGTTGTTTCAAAACTCAAGGTTCTACAGCATATCTGGGCAGTCCGCCTGGCTTCGAGACTATCTTTATTGGTACAGAGCTGACGTACGAAAAACTTTTGACCCAGTCAGCGTGGTATCAAGGGATGTGCCCAGGAGGGTGCATGCAGGTGTGTGTGCTGCCCACCTCTTGGGCTCCTCCAGCTCAAACATGCGGTCAAGCAGGTCGATGCAGTCGGGGCTCAGCATGCCGCAGTCGTGGGCGATCAGCGGGTTGGCGTGCCACTTGTCCGTCGCCTGCGTCTGCATCTGCCACACCTGCCGGGGGCGGGGCGTGGAGGGGGGGGTGGATGGGGGATAGCGAGCGGGGTAGTAAAAATGGGGTGCGGCGGCATTGACTCTCGGCAGCATGTCGCGGTCGACACCAGCCCTCAAACTGTCTTCGACGCTACAACGGCATGTGTCAGCGGCCGCAAAATCGTAGCCGTCGACTTCAGGTCACCCCAGATCAGATCAGATCAGATCACCCACGTGGGCGCTGACGTCCTCGAGGTTGTGGACGTTGTGCATCTCGATGCCCTCAAAGGGGAAGCGCCCGATCAGCATCACGCACAGCATCACGCCCGCCGCCCAGATGTCAGCCTTTGTACCGTCGTACAGCGGCTGGGAGGCGGGGGGGCAGGGCAGAGTGTGTGCCAGTGTGCTGTGGTCATGCGCGAGTGCTGTCATCCCGAGACGAGGCGGGGGCCAGGAGGCATGGATGTGAGTGTGTCGGACAAGCAGGGGTGTCGGCTTGCAGACACAGGTTGTGCGAGGCAGCGCCGGTCGGCCGTCGAGCGGCAAGGGGGCGTGTGGGCGAGGCGCGGTCGCCGCACTCGAGCTTGCGCGGGCGGGCGCTGCCTTGACTGCGGCTGTCGGGCCACGCACCTTGGACGAGGGGCCACCCAGCCCGAGCTTGGCACCCAGCAGCTGCGGGCTCATGTAATCCTGCAGAGGTCAGGAGGCGCGGGCAAGGATTCGGATTGAGCATGCGCCAGCAGATATCAGGATGCTTGCATCCACCACCACAGACGCGCACCCCAAAGCTGCCCCCCCCGGGTCCCAGCTGCGCAGCAACCCCCCAACTGGCCGGCCCCGCCGCGCCGCCTTTGGCGCGACAGGCGCGGCCCGCCGTCGGCACGGCAGGCCCTGTTGCTGGCGCGGCGGGCGCCCGGACGACCCACCGGCGTCCCCGTGATTGTCGTCATCTCCGGCTCCCCCATCCAATTGCGAGCGAAGCCAAACTGGGGTCGGGCCCAAAGGAAGGGAAGAGCAGGGGGGGAATGAGCTGGCCGGCCTCTGTGAGTGGAGCAAGGCGCCGACTGCCACTCGACAGCAACAGGCGCACCCGGCGGCGTCGCACAGGCGGCGCAGCAAACTACGGGGCGACTTTCCCGCCGGGCGCAGGCGGCGTGCAAGCGGCACTCCTTGCTTCAATCGAGTGATCTCGACACGTTAGTCATGCATGACTCACGTCGCAGAGCTTGATGCGTGGCGGGTCGTGGTCGTCCAGCAGAGTGTTGTCCATTTTCAGGTCTCTTCAGGAGGAAAAGAACATGATTGCGGGTACAGCCACAGGGGCCGGAGTGAGGAGCTGATCAGGGCGAGCTGAAGGAGTGCCTCTAAGGGTCAAAGGTCGGGCCGCTTTGGCCATCAGGCGGGACTGCGACGCCCTTGGCCCGCCGCTCCCCCTCCCCCTCTACCCAGCCATCGACGCAGGCTGCTGCGGCCGGCGCCGCGGCCCACTCTGCGCTGACCGACTCAACCGAGAGCGCCCCGCCGCCCACGGTGCCGACTCCCGGGCCGCAGAGGGCAGGGGGATGGGCGAGTGCGCGGGTCCAGCACTGGCAGTGCGATGGGAGGCTGTAACCGCATACAATAGGGGCACGACCAGCCGACCTGCCTCTGCTGCCGACCTGCTGGCACGCTGCTGGCCGTCCCAGTGACCCCCCTCCACAGGCCCGAGCCGGCCCCCGCCCCCCACCTGTGCGCGACTTTGTGCTGATGGCAGTACTCCACCGCGCTGATGACCTGCCATGACGTCATCGAGGGTGAGCGGTGGGAGCAAGTGGGCCAGGGTTTGGCCCCGCCCAGCTCTTTATCATGCGGCAGCACCCGCACGCAACGGCACCCCTTGAAACCACCGCCACCGTCTCACCAAACACAAGCGTACGCACATTCACAGACAAACGGTTGTGCTCATCCCCTCGACACGCACACACACATACACTCACACGCCCATCTATCTGGCTCCTTTCCACCCCGATACACATTGAGCACACCTATAGACCACACCTGCAGACCATGCATACAGATGACACATGCAGCCCCCGGCGTCCCCCTTCCCCTCACACCTGCTTAAAGAAGTACAGCGCCTCGTCCTCCTCCATGACCAGCCCGTCCCGCCTGTCAAAGTCCCCGAATTTAAGCAGGATCGACTTTAGAATGTAGTCCGCCATGTTGCCGCCCGCCACATACTCCATCACCAAGCCGAGGTGGGTCCTGGGGTGATTCGTGGGGGCGTGCGTAAAAGCATGTGTGTGTGCGTGTGCACGCGCGCGTGTATGTGTATGTGTGTGTGTGTGTGTGTGTGTGTGTGTGCGCGCGCGCGCGCGCACGTGCGTGGGGGCCTGTGAGCGGCCGGAGCGGGGGTGCAATGAACAGTCACCATAAGTTGGTGGAGCGTCTGTCAAAGTCTGGCAGGGCCGCTGGAACCATTGGCTGCTCAGCTGCCCTTCCCTTGATCCCTCACCCTGTAACGACCCTGCCGCACTCAGCCTCTTGCAGCCCCGCTCCCTGCCCTGGCCCCTGCTGCGGCGGCCCAACACGCCACTTGCTGCGCCGTGCGCTTGATCGATTTTTGTGCATGCATCGCTGTCGTGCGTGCTGTCCGCGCTTTGCCATCAACACATACACACACACACACACATAAACATGTGCACACACACACACACACATAGACCCCCAACCACACGCGGTGTGTGTATACCAACACACTGTGTATATCAACACACGCATACTCACACACACAAGACACATCAAAGCGTCCCAACACGCCGCCATCACCCGTCCAGCCCCGCCCCAGATCACGCCACCAACCAACCTCGTGAGCACCACCTCCCTCGGCTTCACGATGTTGAGGTGGCCCTTCCCCAGCTCCGCCCCGATCTTGACCTCGCGCATTATGCTGGTGCCCATCACTGGGGGAATCGGCCGCCTGATGAGCTTGATGGCCACCACGTCGCCGCTGCCGCGCTCCTCGCATAGCCAGGTGTCGCCCGCGGAGCCAGAGCCCAGCAAATGCTTCACGTCGTATGCCTCTGACAGGCCGCCTGGCGGGGGATGGGTGGCGCGGCGCGCAGCGCGGCGCGGCGGGGGGCTGTTTCGGAAAGCGGCCGGGGGCAGCCGGGGCGGCCAGGAGAGCCGTGGGTGGGTTGTGGAGGGGTGTGCGCACGCCCAAAGCGCGTGGGGAAGCTGCATCGTCACCCCCGCAGCGGCGGCGGCAGCGGCGCGCCGCGATGCATGGCTAGCTGAGGTGTCCGTTTATCTCCGCGTGGCGTGGGGGCATGACGACTTGTGCGCGCGAAGTGAGAGACTCAGCCACGCTGTGCCCAGCGGCACTGATGCGGCGTCACGTGGCGCCAGACCCCTCAAGCTCTCGCGAATGCCGCGCCCCGCCCAAAGTGTTGAGTGCCGTGCAACTCGTCAGCTTGCCCACCGCACCTGTCGGGTCATCCTGAGGCTCCGCCCCACCCGCCACGGCGGGCGCGCTGCAGCATGCCCCCATGTGCGCCGCCGCCCGGGCGAGCGCCTCCGCCGGCGCCCCCCTCCCTGGGGCGTGGCCGGCCCGGGCAGGGCGAGCGCCGAGTAGCGGAGCGCCGCTGGCGCCGTTGCAAGGGCCGCCGTCGCTGCCGCCGCTACCGCTGCTGGAGGTGTCAGAGGCTCATGTGGTTCAAGTTGTCTCGGAGCTAGTCTGGGAATTAGACGGGCAAGAGGGTTGATGAAGCTTGATACCAGTCTCAGCTTAGGGATTCGCTGAGGCTGCTGCTGCTCCGCTCTGATGTTTGGCGATTCAACCAGACTCAAGATTGCACACTTAATCGGTAGTCGCTTGCCGATCTTCGAGGCTGGGTAACAGGCGAAGTCGATCAGCGTGGGGCAGGGCCACTCGCTACAAGACACGCTATCGAGGTCTTAACCGCTGACGAGAACTCGGCTACGTGGGCTCCACTTGACAGTCAGTGACTGTCGGCCCGCCGAGTGTCGAGGGTGACACATGCCTGCGCGCTTGCGTGTGCTGGGTCGCCCTGTGTGGGGTGCCGGCACAACAGACAGGTGTAGAGAACCTGATATCAGTATCGAGGGGTACCGGTGGCACGGGTATGGGCGGGATACCCCAATCGCTTTGAGCACACTGCTGCTTGCCACACCTGCCATGTGCGGTGTCTACGGTGGTGACCACTCTACCCCTCGGTAATCGAACCTTCGTCAATGCATGCATGATACGACGATTTTTACACATATCAGCTGCAGAAGGCAGACCGCATTCGAAACACCCCAGGCCTTGGGCCTTGGCAAACGGCACTCGCAGCTGCACAGGGAACTGTCAGGATGCCTTTTTTGCGGGCTGGCTGCCACTCGCTGTGCGAGGCCGCACAGCTGCACCCATAGCCTTCTTATTGATTCTGTGAGAGCGTGGAGTGCTGGCAGCAGACGCAGCAGCGCAGGGAGCTGCGCATCTGCTTGCCGCTGACAGATGACAGTGCGATTGTGGGCTCGATGTGGCCGCCATCCCAGCGTTGCACCGCCAGACCAGGTCAACCCGCTCCCCCTGACCCGGCATCTGCTGGAATCTGGACCCCTTGCGTCACACCTGCCCACCAGATGACATTGCCCAACTTACCAGCCCGCCAGCTCGCCGCCAGCGCACCCTGCCCAGCCCACCAGCAGACCAGTGCACACCAGCACAAGAGCACCCAGCAGCTGGAATATTCCGCTGTGCTGCATCCGACCTTTCTTCCTCCTGGGCCTGTCCAGATCAATGCTTATGTGTGACCACGTCGTGGGAAGCTTTCCAATACAAGCTGCTTACAATGCTCACCCCATCAACTAGTGCGTAAGGTACATCCCTGGGCGGATAGCAAGCCCACAGCCGCGGGGCCCTCTCACGCGCCGGCCGCGCGGTGCGCGTGGCCATGCGCAGCCGCCCCGCTGGCTGGGCACCCAGCGGACCAGGTGCACGGGATTCAGAGGACATACACCCGTAATTGCTGGTTTGTTTGGTTGTGTGGGCTGTGGTGGTGATACACGTGGCGCCGTCGGGCGCGCGGGGCGCCGTGCTCGGGCCTTCTCTCGTTCAAATGTAGGGGGTAAATCAGGGGGGCGTCGGCTCGTGGGCGCGCTGCCGCGCGGCTGCAGAGGGGCCCCAAGGTGAGGTGCACAGGGAAGCTGCAAGGACCGTGCATCCTGCTTGAAAAGGGCATCCCATGCGGGCCGGTTCGCGGAGCCGCGGCATACGCGTGTGGCGCCAGAGCCCCCGCATTTGGCGCAGGCGCGCGCCAGGCCTGCACCCCCTAGCCAGCATCCCCTACCCAGAGCAGCGCCGCGGCGCCAGCAGGTGCTAAACACAATGCGGCAGGCGACGCGAAAACAGCAGTGACAAGAGCGGAGCGCGCGCGCGCGGAGCGGAGCCGCCTGGCAGGTTGCTCCGGTGGCGCTGCGAAAGTGGCCGCGCGCTTGCCGCGGCTGAAAAGGGGCTGAGCAGGCGCCGCGGCGCTGGCGCCGGCGCCTCCCCTTTGAACCCTGGGCACGCAGGCGCGGCGCGGCCGAAAAAATGTCGGCAGGCCGGTGGCCGAGGGTCAATGGACCGACGGCGTGGGCGCCGTGCGCGGGCGTCCAGGGGCTGGCCCCGCCCATGTCGCAGGAGAAGCGGCAGGGACCCATCGGGAACTCAATAAGGCCAGCAAAAAGTTGATTGATCCAGGGCAGAGGCTGCATGGGGGGGCCGGGCACGGGCAGCTGTCCAGGCGTGATGCGGCCGGCCGACGCGGAGCGCGGGGCGCGCGCATGTGTGCGCCGCACCCTGTCCGAGCTGCCAGCGCCGCCCACACCGGCCGGCCAGTCAGCTCGCGAGCCGCGCGCCGAGCCGCCCTCAGTGCGTCCCAGCACACAGCAGGCCCGGCATCGCAGAGCCCTTCAATCCGGGTTGTCGTTCCCCTCGCAACTCTCGCCGCTCCATCCCAACCTCATCCCACGCCACACGGTCCCTCCCTGCCATGCCCTGCACTGCTCTGCCACCCATCCATCCCGTCTCTCCCCAGACCCCACCCAACCCCACCCGCGCCGCCGTCAGCGACGCTGCCTATGACGGCTGCTTCGCCTTTGCTCTCATCTGCTTGTTGTCTCCTCTCAAAAACCCGTCGCCCGCGGTGCGGCTGCGGTGGTGCTCTGTTGGTTCCTCGGCGCCTCCTCGGAATTGGGAGGCGCCAGACCGGGCGCACATCCAGATCAGATCCGACCAGACAGAATTAGTGGCCGGGCTCCATGGTTGATATCAGGCCTGACGCATCAGGTGGGGTAAGGGGGGCTGCGTGGGCGCGATGGTGCGGCACGCGCACAGGCACTGCCCACCTGGCACTGGGCAGGAGGAGGTGAGGCCCCTGCCCCCCTAACCTGCGTGCTTGAGCTGGGCCTGCCAGACTGCCTTGGTCGCCCCAGCAACCTTTTTGCCGAAAGCCCCAACCAAAACCTGTTGATATGCCTGTGCTGCCCGAAACTGTGCATGACGCAGGCCCGCACGCATCAACACACGATGAGACACAAGCAACAAGCCACGCACGCGCGGGGAACCCCCAACACACACACCCGAACCGTGTCCCGCCTCACCATTGAGCCTCAGGTCCTCCACGTATCCCTCCGCCTGGTCCTGGGCGCACGCCACCACCAGCGCCACCCCACTCTCGTGAGCCTCCTGCATCACGTTCATGGCGTCGTCCACCTGCGGGGCCGCGCAGAGCCGCAGACACCGCGCGTGGGGCGAGCGGCGGGCGTTGGAAAGCCGGGGAATGGCGTGCGTGGCGAGTCGGCGGCGACGCTTGTGGCCGGTGCGGCGGCGGGCGTCGGGAGGGGCGGCAGTCTGTGTGCGTTGGCGCGCCGGCTGCTGTGCTCCTCACCGTGATCTCAGACACCACCTTGAGCAGCACCTTGACGACATACTCCCGCCGGTTCTGCGGTTGCAAGGCAGACGCGGGGCGGCGAATTAGCACGAACGCAAGGCGCTGCAATTGGAGCCACCGAGGGCTCTGGAGGTCGCTGCTCGCTGACGCATGGGCACCGCCGCGCCGCCCCACGCGGCACTGCATGCGGTCGGGCCGCTGCCCCGGCTGCGCCAACCGTCAGGGGCGGGCCGCCGCGCCGCGGCCCGCCCGACGCTTGACGGCCCCCGCTCACGTAGTTGTCATTGTGCAGCATGACCTTGTAGATCGGGGGCTTCTTCCGCGCGCCCTCCGTGCTGTGCAGGATGGGGAGGCGGGGCGCAGCACGTGGGCCGCGGGTTGCAATGGGCGTGCCTCTCGGCCTCACGCACTGCGGCCGCGCGCAATGCGAGCCCCACGCAGCAAACACTGCTGCTGCTGCTGCTGCTGCTGCTGCTGCTGCTGCGAGCAAGCAAGCGTTGCAGCTGGCAGCTCAAACCCCTCCCGCCGCACACAGCAGCGCGGGTGGCTGTTGGGACGAGCTCCCCTTGTAACCCTGGTGCAGAGCAGGTGCCACCGTCTAGGGATGTCGCCCGCTGCTCACCTCTTGCCAGGAGTGGTGATTGTCTCATTGTCAAGCAGGCCGCTGCCGCCGCGCGCCGCTTGGGGCACGACCAGTGCTCTCCGGCTGCCTGCGGAGGGCAGGGATGCGGTACCCCCTGAGGGCGAAACCGCATGCTGCGCACGCGCACGCACACGCTGCTCGCCACGTCGCCGGGCAGGGCTGCGTCTGCGTGCTGCAAGGCGAGCTAGGACGAGAATGTTTCAACCTGTAGGATCCAAATGGTCCTGCTGGCCCCTGCAATGACCTCCAATGCCCGAATGGACCATGGTGCTCCGGCTTGCAAGACCTTGCTCGCCCAAATCACCAGCCTCTCACCAGGACAGCGCAGCTTTGCACGCACAGTAACGCTGCTGGCGCCAGCGCAGAGGGTACGCGTGGCAGGGACCTAGGGCAATGAGTGTTGGGTGAGTGCCGACTTGCTGCAGGCCGCTGCGCGCCTTGCCGAGCTCAGGGACCGCTGAATTACCTTCGCCCTGTTGAGAGGCGACGCCAGCGAGGTCGATACCGCGGCGAGAGCCATTCTGACAGTGCGTGCTGCGCGCTGCTCTTCGAAGCCACTCGGGCGACGATGTAGGAGTGCCCACCGACCACCAAGCACGTAGTGATATAACAACTCACATACCCGGATTGGACAAGGGCACCCTGCAATGAACGGGGTCGCACGTGGTGGCGCCCCTGCACCTCCCACTAGGCAGTTGCAGGCTGCACGTCCAGGGCGCAGGCCCACATGCCGCTACCACACAGAACCTGTCGCGCAAGGAAACAGTAGCATGTTGGTGTCGATCGACCAACCCTTGCTGTTTTCAGATTGGGCGAGTCCAGGGACTTCGCACACACCCATCGAAGGTCTTGACTGCTTCAGCGAGTCAGCCCCCAGACAGTCCGACTGCCGCCCTGATTCGATGTTGACAGTGCGCTTGATGCTGTGCTGCCTCTTTTAGGGGCAACTCCCAGCCGTTCCAAGGTGCGCCCAGGCGATTAGCGAGTGCCCGGCTGCTGCGCCTTCTGTTCGCTTGGTGTGTGGAGAGCCCAAGGTGGTGAACGTGAGGGCATCCCCCGGCGCGCCCAGCAGCCGCCCGAAATTTACATCCCAAAAGCTACAGAGCCACGGCGCAGGCCAAGGCAGAAGCTGCTCAGAAGGTCATGGCACAGGTTCGTCGATGCAGCGAGCAGGGCGCATGCAGCGTACCAGGCGGGGTGGCCCCATGCACATGCATGGCTATCATGTGGGTCCGCACCACCCAAACACGCATTGGACTCCGCAGATACATGTCCTGATAGCGTACAACCAAAGCAGACCGCATGCACCTCCTGCGGACAGTCAGGTGCATGCTACCCAGTGTGTGTGTGTGTGTGTGGGAGTGAGCGCATAGCCGCACCAGCTTTGGGGGTGGCCGCTTTCAATATTTCAATAAGATGGCAGGGCAAAAATGCCTGTCGGACAGCATGCAGGGTACAGGTGCACACGAAGCAAGGAAGCGTGCGCACGCACAGAGGCGTGCGCCATGCCCACAAGCAGGGATGCAGCGGCAAGCGCCCCGGGGGGGGATGGCTGGTCAGGTGCGGCGGAAGGGGCCGGGCCAGCGCACCAGCCAGCACTAAGCGGGGGCCCGATGTCGAGGGGATTTGAGGTGAGGTGACACGGCGTGACCAAGGGGGTGGCGAGCGCCTTCAAGGTGTGTGGCTGCGGCCCGAGCACTGACGCCAGGTGCGACCTGGCAGGCAGCTGCCGCTGGCCATGCACGGCCCTGCGCGACAGCCGCCCGGCAGAGTGCCACCGGGCGGAGGTGCATGGAAGCAGCTGGCGATGGGGAGATTGTGCGTGTGTGTCAGTGAGTTGGTGTGTCGGAGCGGGGTTGCATGCAGGTGGACTGGATCAGCAGGCGGTTCAGCACGGCGAAGAGCCGAGGCCGATGCGAGCGCACGGAGTGGAACGTGCCGATGAGAGGCAGGGGTTTGCGGGCGGCCAACCAGTGCAGCCTAGGACCTTCCGACAAAAGTGCGGGCATAGTAAGAGCAGAAGAGCCCATCACAGGCGCATGACTGGGGCAACCCCAAACCCCTCAAGTGCTGGAGAGTGCGGCGCGAAGCGCGCGAAAGCGGAAGCCCCCCACAGAAAAGGCCAAGGCTCGCTCCCTGGCGTGTTAGTGAAGCGGCCGCACGGAAGAGGCAGAGGCCCGGGCCTGGTAGCCTGCGCGCACGCAGTTTGCTCAGTGCGTCACCGAGAGCGTGCGGGCATGGGGCCGGGAGTGGCGCATCACTTCTCGGCCTTGTCAGCAGCGGTTGTGGAAGCGGCGCGCTTCATGCGGCGGCTCTTGGCCATAAGGTCCAGGAGGCTCCAGTCGTGCTCCTCCTCTGCCACCAGGTTCTCATCAATCTGGGGCGAGGGTCGGATGGCGTTTGACCGCGGCAGAGTGTTTGTGTGTGTGTGTGTGTGTGTGTGTGTGTGTGTGTGTGTGTGTTCGCATAGTGTGTGCGTGTGCGTGTGTGCGTGTGTGCGTGGTCGTGGATATGTGTGTGTATGCACGCACGCGCATGCGCGCGTGTGTGTGTGTGTGCACGCGTGTGTGTGTGCCCACATGTGCGTGTGCACGTGTGCCCGGGCAGGGGTGCTACCCCTGCTGAGGGTTGTCGAACGACCTCCATCACAGCGTGGAAACCTCCCTGCACCACGCCGACCTCTGTAGGGCCGGCACAGCCAGCCATTTTGCTGATCGCATCTCAGCGGGGTCACGGCAGGGCAAAGTGGCTGAAAAGGAAGCGGTCGGCCGCGGCAGCGCTGATATGTACCTGCTGGACACGCGTCCTTTGGGGGACAGGGGCAGGTGCGGATGCTCCGGGATCCAACGGACACCTGAGTTGCCTGCCGCCGCGTTTTTGCTCACCTCGTTGTTCTCGTTAACGTTCCACCCCGGCACCCTCATGAACATGGGGTTCAGCCTCGTCATGCGGGCGTAGAGGTCGGTCACGCGCGTGCAGTCCCGCTGGACCTTGAGCAGCTTGAAGGTCACGAGCTTCAGGATGACGTACATGCCCAGGCCGGCGATGACGCCGTACGCGATGTTGTTGGTGCTGAACATGGACACGACTGTGGGCGGTTTTGGGAGGTTTCGGGGGGTGATGCAACTGAGAACGGTTCTTATGTGCGGATGCAACTTGAAAGAGTGGTCCAGGAGAGTTGCAGAGGTATCACTTCGTGCTGAGAGATGGTTGGTTGGGGCGAGCAGCATCGCGGGGTGCGGGGGGAAGGTGCACTGGCAGGTCTGGGCTGCGAGTCCAAGGCAGGGGGTCAAAAGCCCGGTGTGACGGGAGGGGATTGGGCCATTGAGATGGTGTCATGGTTGTGTGGCTCACTGGTGGCAAAGCTGGGGATGGACTCGGTGATGTCATCCCAGTCGATCTGGTTGAGGGCAGTACGCGGGATGGGAGGGTGGGGGTCAAGGTGGGGGTCAGGTTCAGTGCGTATGTTCGGGTGTGGAGACTGGCATACAAGGGACTTTCGTGGTGTCAAATTCCTGTTGTGATTCGGCCGGCGCTCTCCTTTCTTTGAAGCAAAGCTGAAATTATGCTCAATACTCGTTTCCATATGTGAGCGTTCCTTTGCTTTATACATAGCAGACATACGCGCCCATGCGCACAATATGGCTGATGCACGTGCAACCAAAAGCTTGGGGTACGCATGCGAGCAAGCACGCATACATGCACGCACACACACGCGCACACACACACACACACATGCACACACCCCCACCTGCATGATGCTCTCCATGAAGATGATCGCCCCGATCAGGCAAAGCACGGGCGACGTGGCGATGTCAGGGATGGACGAGAACAGCGGCCTTTGGAGGTGCAAGACAACCGGTGCGGTGGGTTTGGCGGTGTGGGGTGTGGGGGTCAGAGGGAATCGCGACGGAGGACATGGGCCATGCTTGGCGGATAGCTGGCCGGCTCCAGAGGGGTGCTGATGCGAGGCAGCCAGTGTTCGCGGCCTGACCGCAGGCATGTGTGACTCAGCATGCAAGCCCAAAGCCCGCTACGGGCACCCCGTTTCCTGCCCCCGCTGCGCGCCCCTTTCCGTTTGCCCCCACCCGCGCTCACCACAGCACGATGGACAGCACAAACAGGCACGCGCACACCACCGCCGTGAACCCGGTGCGCCCGCCCTCGCGCATCGCGGCGGCGGACTCGACATAGGTGGTCAGCGCGCTGGTGCCCAGGAGGCCGCCGATGGTGGAGCCCAGGCCGTCGGCAAGGAAAGCCAGGTTGCTGCGCGGCATCACGCCCTCCTTGTTCACGACGCCCGCCATGCGGCCGAGGGAGACGAACGTGATGGAGCTGCCGATGAAATCCAGGTAGCTTAGGATGTATAATCGACGGGGTTCACAGGTGGGGTTGGGAGTGAGGGAAGGGGTGGAGTCAAAGGCGGGTGTGGGCAGCAGGCTGCACAGCGGTCGGGCGTGGTGGTCAGAAAGGAGGGAGTTGGAGGCAACGATCCGGGTGCTGACTGCCAGGGCTTTGAAGCAGAATCGCGGCAAGGGTGCGGGAGAGACGTGCTGACGGCCTTCCGCTTTAGGAGTGTGTCCAGGATAAAAACCCAGGCACGCCAGCGCAGCGACGCCACGAAATGCTTGGCAGCCAAAGCGCCGCGCTCCTGGGCAAGCCAGCCCCCTGTGTGCTGTATCCATGCGCTTTGTGATTGCACAGGACTGCGGGCGTCGGGGGCAGCTGGACGGGCACCCACAGGAAAGTGACGAGCGCGCCGACCAGGGTGCCTGTGTTGGCCCCCCACTTGAAGTCGAGGCTGAAGGCGGTCTCCGTGAAATAGGCCACGTCCACGACGGTGTCGGGCACCTGCAAGGAAGGCAGGTGCAGCAGTCATCAGCATGGTTTGGATGCTGAGCGGACTTGTGATCCGAGTGCCCGCAAGACCATCGCGGGCGGATGGGCTGGTCAACAAGCGAGTGAGCCCTTGTCAGCAAGGGCGGCGGCGCGGATGGGCGCGGCAAGGACGGGGAGCCGCGCTCTTGTGCAAAATGTGAAGGCGGGCAGCACGCGAGGGGGCAGGCGGGCGTGCGGGGCGCACCAGGCCGCCCATGCTCTGCTTGGCGGGGAACTTGATCCACGAGATGAACATGGTGAAGAATATGCCTATGGCGGTTATTGAATATCATAGAGCACTGGGGTGAGGGTTCGGTCGAGGTGCAAGGACCGCAGGACCAGGCGCAGGCAAGTAGACTCGGGACGGGGGCGGCCCGCAACTTGCAGGGTCATTCAAATTCCACGGAGGCGTGAGGCCACCAGTGCACCAGCCAACAGTAGCAGATGTTGCGAGCAAGCTCAAGCAGGCCCCCGCCGGCGCGCTGAGGACATGACACCCGCCTCCCCTCCCCCTTTTGGGCTGGCCGGTGCCGCACCCGCGATGAAAGCGCCCGACACGTTCCAGACCAACAGGATGGCTGCGTTTTGGGTGCAAGGACCGAGATTTGATGGCAGGCATGCTCAGCAGTCAGCCACAGGCTAGTGGTCGGTGCGACTTTGCAAGGTGCTGCTCGGCGGTCGCAGCTAGGGTCAACGCTGGACGGCGCGGCGGCGCTGGCCGCCTCGCGTGCACGCGCGGGCTGCTGGGCGCACGTGGGTGTCGAGCGAATGGTAGGTGCACAAGGATGCCCACCTGTGAAGAGCAGGCCACCCAGGGCAAGCCAGGGGCAGATGGGGCCGAAGGGCGCGCCATCAAAGTACATGAGGCAGGAGTTGAAGCCGATCTGAGGGGGTGCAGGGGCGGCGGGCGGTGAAGCGATGGGAGAAAGGATTCGCATGAGCAGAGGAGCACTGACAGGGCGCGTCGAATTCGAACCCTGGGTAGCTCCTGGCTTGTCACTTTGATAATGCAAACTTAGTTACTGCTTGCTCAAACTGAGGCGGAGGCGGCATGAGATGGTTTCCCTGGGCCTTCCAGCCGCCGTGCGTCGTGGGGTCTGCTCACCCCGCTGTCGTATCCGGCCGCGCCATAGCCCCCCGCGGTCGCTTTGAGGGGCCAGGCCGTATTGAGCGCCAGATACGTGGGGTAGGGCGCCGGCGCGATGAACCCGCAGCCCTTCATGCCCACGCTGCGCGGCGACGTTTTCAGGGTTTAGGGAGGTCGAAGGGAGAAGGCTGAGGCGGCGGGGTGCGGGGCAGCGTCAGCAAAACCGATGAGGTGGTGCCAGCACTGACCCTGGCGCGGCAAGCTCGGCGGAACACGCTGTGTGGTGGACTTTGTCTGGTGCGCGTCCACTCGCTGGCGCATGTGCCCTTGTGCGCACGCAGGCGCATGTGTGTGTGTGTGTGTGTGTGTGTGTGTGTGTGTGTGCGTGCGTGCATGCGTGCATGTGTGTGGGCGGAGGGGACATGGCCTCACAATGTGATGAACACGCCGATGCCTGCAGCGCCCGCGTACAGCACCGTCTTGGGGAACAGCTGCAGGAAAACCTTCCGCAGCCCTGCGGCAGGGCCGGGGCAAGGTCCGGTAAAGGGGGGCCGCCCCGCGTGGTTTGGAGACTGAGGAGGGGAGCCAGGGCGTTTTAGCACCACACACCCCCACTGACGCCGGCGCGTGCGTGTGAAGGCGTATGAGCACCATTCCAGAAGCTGCGGCCCCACACGGCGCTGCAGGCCTGATGGCACGTTGCTTCCCGGGCATTGACCCATCAGCTGTCCGTAGCGTGGCGCTGGCCTTAGGTAGGCTACCCCCCTACCTGTCACGCAGATGAACACAAAGATGAGGCCCTCAAGGAAGGTGGCAGCCAGCAGCTGCTCATAGGGGATGGCCGTGCCCTTGCTGCAAGCGGAGGCGGGGTAAGGTTGTGCTGAGTGGAAAGCAAAGGGGCTGATGTGCGGGTGCCCAATGTGAAAGACAGTCTGGATCCAGTCGTGGGTTTCCAAACGCAATGCGGTACACTCAACAAGGCCGCACCAGATGTTGGGCGTGTCCGCGGCGCACAGGCCACTGGCTGCGGGTCCGAGTTGAGGTGTGGAACGGCGGCGTGAGCAATCCCGCACCGGATGTGAGGAGTGCCGTAGATGGAGGAGATGTTGGACTCTGATCAATGCAGGGATTGCTGACTACTGGGTCGCTGGGCTCACTCCTTGCTGGTGCTCTGGCCTCACATCCGCACTGGCAGCCCGCTGCGGCAGCAATGGATCCCAGCCCGGCATGCAGATGCATCCACACGGGGGGTGCAGCGTCGCCCGCTAACCATGCCGCTGGCCCCACGCAGCGCGGCTGCTGGTGTTGGTCGGGCGCTGCAGCGCGGCTCACCAACAACGTCTGGAATGAGGGTGGCGTTTGTTGGGGACGCCGGCACGCCCTTGCAGGGCAGCCCGAAGCAGGACTTGTCGGCGCCGGTCATAGTGGCGTGGAAGCCGAACCTGAGGAGGGTACATTGGGTTTCGCATGGATGAGGAGCCACGAGCGCGGAGCCTTGTCTGCGCTCGCCTTATACACACAGTTAAGAGCGAAGGCGCGCCACTAGGCAAGCCAGGAGTCACAGGGTCTGAGCATCCGCTGCTCTGTTGCTGGTTGTCAGAAAAATGAATGGCGGGGCTCTCCAGGCAGCTGTGTCGGCCGAGCACCAGTCTTGCAGCGGCATCGTGACATGTGCGAGCGTTGCATTCAATGACAGGAAACTCACACTTGTTCCCCGGCGATCTGGGTGAAGAGGCTGTTAGTGCCTGGGGGAGGCAACGGCAAGGGAGCAGACGGGAAAAGGCAGAGGGTCAGAGCGGATTGCAGCGGGGGTGGGCACGACGGACGCTGCCGCCGGGCCCCTCTCTACCTTGGGCGTGCGACAAGCCGCCGCGGTTGTTGCACCGCCGATACCCGCGGGCTCACAAGCATCACAAGACCTATGTAACCCCTCCTCCTCCTCTTTCCTGCCCGGCATCCCAGGTGCGCCGCAGGCACGTCAAACGATGTAGCCCTGTGTACCATATCGACGTCATGCTGACCATCTTGAACCCCGATCCAGGTTTTTGAGACTGCTGGAAGGGCCCCTGTCGCCCCCTGTTATGCCTGTCAATGCCCCTTGTTTGTCCCCTCCAAGCACGCGTTTCACTCCCCAACCCTGGCCCACAAAGCCCCCCCCACCAACACATACACCAACACCAACACGATCACACTCACACACGTTCACACACACCAACACACAATCACCCAATCACGCACACCAGCCGCAACCCACCCAGCTGCACGCTGACGACCCAGGGGTAGTTGGCGACGCCGCCCATTACGAGGGTGGCGATGGCGGTGGAGATGGCGGTGGCCAGAACAATGTCCTTCTTGGGCATGCCCGCCGGCCCCAGCAGCAGAGGGTTGAGGAACAGAATGTAGGCCTGAGGATTGTGCGGTTGTGTGTGGGAGGAGCAGTGGAGACGATGCCTGAGGGGGGTTTATACAATTTCGGATTCAGGACACGTTGCCAGTATTGAAGACCGCATGATTGCAACTGCTGTCATTACTTGCAAAACGACGGTTCGGTTGTCAAGCGTAGGGTGAGAGTAGCCAGGACGAGCAGGCGAGGCGGGGTCGATGGCTGCAGGGATCGTGCGGGACGGCCGCAGGCGGGGTGCCCCGAGTGGCGTCCGCAGGTATGAGCAGGCAATTGGTGGATCCGCAGAAGCTTGCTCACCGATGTCATGAACAGCACGATGCCGGCCCTGGTGGGTGGGGCGTGGGTGGAGCAGGCGTGTGACAGGGTGGGGCGGGGTGCTGCCCATCCGCAGGTGTCGCCCAAGGACATCGCCAAACGATTGAGATGCAGCAGACGAGGTTGCAGCCGGGCGTTCAAAGTACGCGTCGCGCCCTGATCGAGGGTTACAGGCAACTTCCTCCCAAGTCCCTGACATCCGTTGGTGTCCCATGCCGAGGCTTGCAAGCCAAGCAGGCACCATTCTGTGTCGCCTCCCCTTCGTCTCGCAGCCCCACCTGAACTCTCCCAGCCACGTGCTGCCGCGCTCGTGCACCCGGAAGAAGCGCTCGCCAAACCTGGCGACCGCGTTAGTTGGCGCGGTGGTGGGGGGCAGCACCTCCACGGGTGCGGGGCCCTTGCCCGCGTAGCTTGGGAGGGACGCGATTTCGACATCGGCGTCCTTTATGGTGGTGCCGCTCCGGCCCGAGGAGTCCATGGCGGCGGGTGTTGCCTGTGTTGCTCAGCCGGCGGCTCTGGGGTTGGTGGGACGGCGCCCGCTGGCGGTGAGGCGCGCGGGAAGGGGGGCTGCGGGTGGGCAGGTGCGGGGCGGAGGAGCGCAAGGCGGTGAGAGCGGGACGTGGGGTCGGGGGCAGGTCGAGCGGGGCCTAAGGAGAGCGCGGTGTGGCGCTGCCAACTGCGTGTGGGTTTGAGTATTGAATTGCTCCTTTGTTGGCTGTCGCTGGCCCTGCATTTCAAACCCCCAGCGAGCATGTGCTTGAGTTCCATGTGATTGTGGGCACTAGGCCTGCTCAACGCGCGACGCAGGGCCAGGCTGGCCGCCTGCTGCTGCTCAGAGCACGGGTTGTAATACGTCTAGTACGCATTCAGCTGCATGGACTGGCCACGGAGCGCCCGACCCTCGGCACTCACTACTGTAGGGTGCCGGCACGTGACCAGCGCGGAGGCAATATTGGCGATTGATAACACCAATGAGACACAAATGCGTGTGCAGCGGGGGACTAGACGCGCCCCCGGGCGAAAACGTGAAACTGGCCACAAGAGTTACACTGGTGCTCCCGTGATTGTCGTCATCCGGGCTTATGCGGCGCATGTGGCGCGCTCCCACTGTTATATACCGCGATCCTGTATCGTCTCAGCCCCTAGAACGCGTGGAAAGCACCGCCGACACAATAATGGTGGAGTCTGCTGCCAATGGCAGCACTGCGAGGGAGACACCAGCGCCAGGCCTCAGCCCCGCGGTGGATGCGGAGCCCTACGCGTGGCCGTGCGTGGGGCAGCTCGCGCCCTCAAACACTGCGTTCATCATCATCGACATGCAGGCGCGCGCGCGCCGCGCGCCGCGCGCCTCCGCTCCCCTAACCCCTGCAAGCCCTCCAGGGACCAAGGGCTGCTCCCGCCGCGCCCCCCCTTTCCTGCCACCCATGATATGCCAGCCCGCCCGCTAGCAAACCCCTGTCGCCATCCCCTGCCGCCGCCGATCCACCACCCCTCTGTGACCCTCTCAATGCTCGCACTTGCACCGCCCCCTCAAAGCCCTCAATCCCATGCTTGCCCCCCACCCCTGCTAGGTTGACTTTTGCGGCGAGGGCGGATACGTCGACCTGATGGGATACGACATCTCCCTGACCCGCGCCCCCATTGAGCCCATCAAGTGCGCAGCACCCTCGCCGCCCTCCGGCCCTGCCCCGCG